ACTGTTGGTACATATACCACAAAGATTTTTCCACTCAATGCCATTGCTTTTGAAAAAGGCATTCATCTTATTGAAAATGTCCTGTGCTGTTGTGGTTGTTTCAAGTTGTTCACAGAATAAGAACTCATCCTTAACATCCCCAGTATTAACATACTATATGAACACTATAAATTGTGCACAGTTAAGCTTCAGAGGGGTAGCCATGTTAGTCTGGATCTGTAAAAGTGGCAAAGAGTACTGTGGCACCTTATAGACTAACAGACGTATCGGAGCATGAGCTTTCGTGGGTGAATACCCACTTCGTCGCATGCATGTAGTGGAAATTTCCAGAGGCAGGTATAAATATGCAAGCAAGAATCAGGCTAGGGATAACGAGGTTTGTTCAGTCAGGGAGGATGAGGCCCTCTTCTAGCAGTTGAGGTGTGAACACCAAGGGAGGAGGTTTTTGTAGTTGGCTAGCCATTCACAGTTGAAATCGTGGTGGAAATTCTTCCAGGGTTTACTTGCACAAGTACAGACAGATATCATTTTCCTTTCCCAATGCAAACGGATGGACATCATATCAAATGGACTGAAGGTGAAAAATCCATTGCTATCTACATACTACACAGACCACAGGGAGAGATTATGCCATACACTATCAAAGAAACTGAGGAACCACTTGATCAGCATCCCTATATGGCAAACAGGAAAACATCAAAAAGGAGCTCTCCAACCTGGAAACTCTCATAAATAACAAACTTTCCATACAAACGGACTTTACTAAAATAAGACAGGAGATCTACATTACACACTTCACCTCTCTACAAAGGAAAAAGGACTGTAAGCTGTCTAAAATCCTACCTGCCACATGGGGCCACAACAGTGGTACTCCAACTCACCCAGCAGTATCGTCAATCTATCCAGCTACACACTCAACCCGGCAGAAGTGTCTGTCCTTTCTCGGGGACTCTCTTTCTGCCCTGCCACCCCCACAAACATTATACAGTTCTGCAGTGATCTGGAAGCCTACTTTTGCCATCTCCGACTCCAAGAATACTTTCAAGATAACACTGAACAGCACACTGATACACAAATACCCTCCCACCAACAGCACAAGAAGAAGAACGACCACATGAGGGCTGAAATGACAGTCTGGACCTATACGTAGAATGCTTCTGCTGACGTACACAGGCAGAAATTGTGGAAAAGCAACATCGCTTGCCTCATAACCTCAGTCGTGCAGAACGCAATGCCATCCACAGCCTCAGAAACAACCCTGACATTATAATCAAAGAGGCTGATAAAGGAGGTGCTGTTGTCATCATGAACAGGTCTGACTACCAAAAGGAGGCTGCCAGACACCTCTCCAATACCAAATTCTACAGACCACTTTCCTCAGATCCCACTGGGGAATACACTAAGAAACTGCACCATCTACTCAGGACACTCCCTACACTAACATCGGAACAAATCAACACACCCTTAGAGCCCCAACCGGGGTTATTCTATCTATTACCCAAGATCCACAAACCCGGAAACTCCGGACGCCCCACCATCTCAGGCATTGATACTCTCACTGAAGGACTGTCCAGATATTTGGACTCTACTCAGACCCTACGCCACCAGCAGTCCCAGCTATCTCCGTGACACCACTGATTTCCTGAGAAAACTACAATGCAATGGTGATCTTCCAGAAAACACCATCCTAGCCACCATGGATTAGAGGCTCTCTACACAAACATCCCAAACACAGATGGAATACAAGCTTTCAGGAACAGTATCCCTGATGATGCCACAGCACAGCTCGTTGCTGAGCTCTGTAACTTTATCCTCATGCACAATTATTTCAAATTTGGTGACAATATATACCTCCAGACCAGTGGCACCACTATGGACACCCGCATGGCCCCACAATATGCCAACATTTTTATGGCTGACCTGAAACAACGCTTCCTCAGCTCTCGTCCACTCATGCCCTTTCTCTACCTATGTTACATTGATGACATCTTCATCATCTGGACCCATGGGAAGGAAACCCTGGAAGAATTCCACCACGATTTCAACAGCTTCCACCTCACCATCAACCTCAGCCTGGACCAATCTACACGGAGGTCCACTTCCTACACACCACGGTGCAAATAAGTGACGGTCATGTTAACACCACCCTATACCGAAAACCCACCAACTGCTATGTTTACCTTCATGCCTCCAGCTTCCACCCCGGACAAATCACACAATCCATTGTCTACAGCCAAGCGCTGAGGTACAACCGCATTTGCTCCAACCCCTCAGACAGAGGCCAACATCTACAAGATCTTCACCAAGCATTCTCAAGACTACAATACCCACATGAGGACATAAGAAAACAGATCAACAGAGCCAGACGTGTACCCAGAAGCCTCCTGCTGCAAGACAAGCCCAAGACAGAAACCAACAGAACTCCACTGGCCATCACATACAGTCCTCAGCTAAAACCTCTCCAACGCATCATCACTGATCTACAACCCATCCTGGACAACAATCCCTCACTTTCACAGGCCTTGGGAGGCAGGCCAGTCCTCGCCCACAGACAACCCGCCAACCTGAAGCATATTCTCACCAGCAACTACACACCGCACCATAGTAACTCTAACTCAGGAACTAATCCATGCAACAAACCTTGATGCCAACTCTGCCCACATATCTACACCAGCAACACCATCACAGGACCTAACCGGATCAGCCACACCATCACTGGTTCATTCACCTGCATGTCCACCAATGTAATATATGCCATCATGTGCCAGCAATACCCCTCTGCTATGTACATCGGCCAAACTGGACAGTCCTTACATAAAAGGATAAATGGACACAAATCAGATATTAGGAATGGCAATATACAAAAACCTATCGGAGAACACTTCAACCTCCCTGGACACACAATAGCAGATTTAAAGGTAGCCATCCTGCAGCAAAAAAAACTTCAGGACCTGCTGAGAAACTGCTGAGCTTCAGTTCATTTGCAAATTTGACACCATCAGCTCAGGATTAAACAAAGACTGTGAATGGCTAGCCAACTACAAAAGCAGTTTCTCCTCCCTTGGTGTTCACACCTCAACTACTAGAAGAGGGAAGAAATTTCCACTACATGCATCCGCAAAGTGGGTATTCACCTATGAAAGCTCATGTCTATAAGGTGCCACAGGACTCTTTGCCGCTTGTCCAGTTAGTAATATCAGTAGTTTCATCAAGCTGCAGCCTGAACATACTGAAAGCAAAATGTTTAATTTCATGCACAATTTGTTCTTTGATATCTTCAAACATCTCACATATCCTGCGTTTCACAGGATCATTTGCCATAGAAAGCATATTAAGGTTTCTGGCATTATCATTGCCGAGCATAAGCGACACAATATCTTTGCACACTGTCAGAATAAGCTCCTCACCTATTCATAGAATATGAGGGTTGGAAGGGACCTCAGAAGATCACAACCCCCTGCTCAAAGCAGGACCAATCCCCAATTTCTCCCCCAGATCCCTAAGTGGCCCCCCTCAAGGACTGAACTCACAACCCTGGGTTTAGCAGGCCAATGCTCAAACCACTGAGCTATCCCTCCCCCTATTATATGTAGCGACATAGCATAAGAAGCCTCCACAGCTGAGGATATTTGCGGTCAGAAACTTCCACCTGCATCAAGCCTGGCTTTCTTTGTTCCGTCTTCTCTGTGTTTTTATCTTTGTGCTCAGAATGTTTAGTTTCAAAATAGCTCTGCAATTTGCATGGTTTCATCGATTCAGAAAACAAAACTTCACCACAAATAACACATAGCATGTTTTCAATACCAGAGGTAAGATGCCGGTAAAACCGTGTTTAAAGTAATTTTTCCTTCCAATCTCAGTGTTTTCATTGGTCTGCGGTTTAATACAGCTCTTCAGATGCTGAATAATCAAGCCCTCTAATGTTGTCTCAGTCCCAGGGCTCGCCTTAGGGAAAATGGCACCTTGGGCCAACTTCTATTTTGGTACCCTTTCTTTGGAGGTGGAGAGGAGCTGAAGACAGAGCAGGGTTGGGAGTGGAGCTGGGCTGGCGGGACTCAAGGCTGAGAGCCCCACGCATGGCTGGGCTCAGGGCTTGTAACCCCCACATAATCACCTTGCGACCCCCCAGTTTGGAAATTGCTGGTTCAAGATTGCAAGCAGGCTGCAAGAAGCTGTCAGCCTAGGCACCAACTTCCTCTCTATCTGGAGGGTGCTTGACTCCCCCTGCAGGCCCATCCCCACTCTACCCCTTCCTCCAAGCCCCTACCTCGCTAATTAGCACCTGCTAATTTTTTTCCATGGGTGCTCCAGCCCTGGCCAAACTGAGGGGTGCACGGGAGAAGATAGGTTCTGGGACACAGAGTGATGGGCTCGGCCCAGGGGCACCATTTCAGATTTTGATATTGAGAGGAAACTTTAACCATGATTCCCAGGGCTACTTAGGCAGCTGAAAACTCTAGGTTTTTTTTTTTTTTTTTTTTTGGCAGAAAATAATTTAGAAATTAGTTGACAGGAGCACTGCATCTAATTCCTATATAAAGAAAGAAATTTAAATAAATATTAGACCCACTCAGCTCTAATACTAACATGTTCTGACAAGTCACTTAAGGGACACTGCTTAGGTTTAAAATTGTAATGTATATTCTTACTTTGTTACTAACTCTTCAATACAATAATTTAAACAATTATAGAAAAATCTATATTACTTTCTATCTTTTAGGCTAATTAATTTTTGCAGTTTTCCAAGTTTGGAATAGATCATTTAATGTTTGGAAACATCATACTAGGTAAAAGCCCTGTGAGTTTATACTGCACCTGCCTGGAGTTTAGAGGTGTTACTATACTACAAATAATAGACTAGAAATGGACTTTAAACAGGAGTGAAACTGACACTTTCAAATCACTTTACAGTATTGCTAACCCCAAATGTTCAACAGTCTAGAGTCAGACTCACCAAAAAAGCCACAAGATAGTCTTAAAAATCACAAGATTATGTAAAATAGATTTGGTGTTCTTTTTATTTGCCTTTTGCTTTTTGAGCCTTTAGGGTGTACTGGGTCACATTTTGAAGCTTTCTCCAGAACACTGAGGGCTAGAAACGTACTTTTTCTTTAAGAATGAAGGCTGAAATAATCACATATCCACTTGACTGCAGGAGCTGTGGCTTTAAGGAAAACAATAATTATCATGAGACTCATGACAAAATCATGACAGTTGGCAACACTGCTTCCACTTCTGTTTAAAGGATAGTTACTTTCCAGAAGGCTCTTAAACACAACACTACAGTAATCGAGTTGCAGTTCTCACAGGAGAATATTTAAAACCAAACAGCAGGAAAATTCCATATTTTAGGATGAGGGAAAAAAATTGAGTCTTCTTAGGTATATCAAGGCCACTGCAGGGAGGAAAGGAAAATAAACAGGGACAGGAGTTCTGGGCAGCTCTTCCTCTTGAAAGAACATTGGAGGGTCAAATCTTCCAGTCCTTAATAAGATAAAACATATTCCCATCAGTGCCTCCAGTCATAGATATTAACATGTGCTCAATAGCTATAGTTAAATATCAGAGCCATTTTATCCAGGACTACACATTTTATACACATTGGCTCAGGGACATTGTCTGCATATTCTGATCAGTGCTGAGTACACAGATGGTGCTTAGTGAATGATACAAATCTTGACAATAATCATTGACTTTATGGACTTTTCGGATGCAATTTCTGTTCTTTTTCTAGAATTGGCTTGGATACAGTTAAAAGAAAAGGAGTACTAATGCTACCTTAGAGACTAACCAATTTATTTGAGCATAAGCTTTCGTGAGCTACAGCTCACTTCACGAAAGCTTATGCTCAAATAAATTGGTTAGTCTCTAAGGTGCCACTAGTACTCCTTTTCTTGTTGGATACAGTTGAAACCCTAAGAATTTGAGGGATAAACACAGCTGATATTCAGACAACACTTTCTCATTTTTCCTTTGCTCATACAGAGAACAAAAAAATGACACAAGAAAATGGTTTTCAGTTAAAATGTAAAACTGCACAGCAGCCATTGCTCTAAAACTCAGCACAGGGCAGTTACCCCTCGGGGGCTAAGTGATCTCCTCTCATCTGACTCGGATTCTCTTTCTTCATCCTTCCTGACCATTGTGTTGCTTTTCATGCAGTCAACCATGACAACCTTCCCAACAGCCTGGGACCATTTGCTGGAGTCTCAGAGAAGTGGCCTTCTTGGTTTTGCTCCCATCTGTCAGAATCCTCCTTTTTTTTTGTCAGCATGCAGCAGAAAGAAAGGCTGGTCCAGCGGATTGGGTGCAAAACTCAGGGGGAAGGAGCCTGCCCCTGGCCCCGCAGCTGCCCTGCTTTGAAGGCTAACTGAAGCATCACAGAGCAGCAACTTGGGCTGGTTGCTTGCCTTGAGTACCTCTGTGCAGCAAGGTGCTGCCTTGCAAAACAGGCCTTTCCCCAGGAGAACAGCACCACAAGCCCAGCAGGTCAATCCCAGGGCTAGCACCCGGGAAGGCATAGGGATTGTGCTTTGACCTAGCTCCTGCCCACCTGGCACAATACTACCTCTCCACGTGACACACAGCCTGCTGCCTCCACCCCTTTCCTGCGCCCCGCCCGGCCGGCGCGAAGCACCGCCCCTCCTCAGCGTCGCGTCGCGTCGCCCCGCCCCACCTCTCCTTCCTCGGGGCGGCCCCTCCCCCTACTCTGCGCATTTTCTATCAGCGCAGCCGCGCCCCTAGCAGCCTAGCTCCACCCCTTCACAGCCCCGCGCCTCACACTTTCCTCCTCCACCGTCGCGCTGAGCCTATTCGCAACGACCTTGCTTATACGCGTGCGTACTAGAGACTACTCGCCCTCCGGCCTTACCCCGCCCACAGCACCGTGGGATCTGATTGGTCCGTTCTACGTTGCCCAGCTAGCCAATAGGAAAGCCGCATTCCTACCCCGCCTCTTTCCAACGTGCTGTTGCTGTCACACCTGAGTCCTGACCCTAGGGGAGATGGCGGCGGCCGGGCTCGGGCTGCGTCGGGTGTTGGTGCTCGCCTCCAGATTGGGGCAGCTGCGGGCCGGCATGGGGGGCCGGCTGCTCCCCTTGGCCGCCGGGCCGCGGCGACACGCGGCGCATTTCACGTTCCAGCCTGACGCGGAGCCCAGCGCGCACGGTGAGGGGGGGCCGCGCCGGGCTCAGCCCCCGTTACCCCCTGTAGCCTGCCTGGCCCTGGAGAGGGGCTGCCCGGCGCCGGGCTGGCGGAGGGCACCGGGCTCCCGGCGCAGCGCCTGCTGCTCTGGGTCCGCTTGTCCCGAGGGGTCCTAGGCGTTAACGGGAGCCGCCCTTCCCCGCCCGCCGCGCTGTCAGCGCCCGCTGTGGTTGGGGGCAAGGGCGCTGGATTTCCCAGGCGTGCCCCCTCCCCCCAAACAGACACCCCCCGGGGCAGCCGTTAAACGTCCCCTGGCGGCGGCCCAGGCAAGCAGCGCGGCGCGCAGCGGGCGTGTTGTTACCCCAGAACCACGAGCCCGCTCCCCTGAGCAACGAGCGCGCTGGCAGCCAGGAGACTTTCCCGACAAACAGTAAACGCCAGTTCTTGGCCGCCAGCCTTCTGGGGTGGGAGCCTCTGGGGTGGCTGACGCCACCTGGGCAGGCGCTCTCTGTAGTTAGGGTGAAAACGGCCTTTCTGTAAAGGGGGGACTGAGATCCCCCGGTCCATCCCTCCTTTCCAGCCGCTGGGCTCGGTGCGAGCCTTGCGACAAACTTACCCGAGTTGATGACGCTGGAAGAGTAACTCATTCCCCTGAAATGACCGAAAGTTGAAGATAAGTGGTCTGATTTGATTTTTTGGCTAGGATCTGGAGCTAGGCACCAGGTAGAAAAGCAATAACAGCTGATCATTGCCACTTTTGGGTTAAAACTTGTTTTCACTTAGGGTCAGGAAACATAGATGTGTGACATAATTGCATTTTAAGTTCAGAAGCCAATATTGCTGTAAAGAAGGGGGGGAATCACTTAAAAGGTGTAGAGAAGATGTTTCTGTTGTACAGAGTAATGAGAGACTCCAGTGGAGAGGAGCGCCATTATCTTTTGTTGGTTCTGCTGTAAATAGGCTTGGTTGAATTTGATTTTTTTTTCAGTTTTGATTAATTGGGATTTTTATTTTTGCCAATTTTTATTTTTACAGTTATGGGAAGTTAGGGGTTGGCGGTGGGGTTACTGTTGGGGCAGTGCTGACAGTGGGGGCTGTAGGGGGCTTTCTGTGAGGCTGAAGGGCCCAAGACAGCTAGGGGAAAGGAGCAAGGGAGGCAGTGGTCCTGATCTGGTGGAGCAGAGACCCCCAGCTGGGGCTGCAAGGAGGAAGATGAGCCCCTGGCCCTGGGGGGGGGGAGGGTGTCTCTGCTGAATGTCTCCTGACAAGGGATTGCTCTCTTCTCCCCACCCCCCGCTGGTGAGTGAACTGGGCTGCAAAGGGCTGTCTGCGCTGCTGCAGGGCCAATGCCCTGCAGGCACAAGCTGTAGGAGGCTGCATTCAATGCTGAGTGTTCTGATTTTTTTTGTTTGTTTTTGTTGACTTCAGTGTGTCAGCTGAAATTGATATTTATTGACACCTGATGATTTCAATTGGATCCTGTCAAGCCTAGCTATAAAGTAGCCAAGTTCCCATGCACTCTGTGGCAGGCTGGCCCTAAGTTCTGCGGCATGTTATAACAAGCTATAAATTCTGTGGCAGATTCAGTTTGCCATTTTCATAGAATTAATGGTGAGAATGCCAAATACAATTATTTTCATGTAATATTCAGTTAATCTTACATTGCCCTCAAATTTCCAATATGCCACAGAATTTTGACACATCACTGCAATTGTAGAAATTTTCAGTGTATGTTGGAGAAGCTGCAGGTTCTGGTATTTGGGCAGGAGACACTTAGCACTTCAGTTCCACGTTGTGGAGTTGCTACCAACAGTGGGAAAAGTTTGCAGACCGCTTAACAGTCAGGGCTCTAGTCAGAAGAGATTGACGGGTTCTCCCCAGGGTGCCACCTGGAATTGGGGTACCACTGAGCCCCCCAACCCACCAGCCTGGGCTCCCTTTTACGCTGTACTGCTGTGACAAGCTGCAAAGCCCTCGGGAGTATAAACCCCAAATTATACTGTCTTGCGTTGAACAGGGAACTGTACAGCGTAAGATCATAAAATTTACCCTCTCCCTCGCTGTGGAGAGGAATATGCAACAGCCTTTTGTCCTTGAGCTATGATTCCCAAACGCTGGTTTAGATAAAGCAAAAACAAGTTTATTAACTACAGAAGATAAATTTTAAGTGACTATAAGTGATGGCAAACAGGTCAAAGCAGATTACCTAGCAAATAAACAAAAAACTCAAACTAAACTTAATATACTAAATAGATTGGATATGAAGAGCAGCTTCTTACCCTAAGAGGTGATACAAGCAGGCTGCAAATTCTTAAGGGGCAAGCTCAACTTGCTTACAGCTTGGAATCCCCAGGTGTTCCATTCACAGGCTAAAAATCCCTTTAGCCTGGGTCCAGTGCTTCTCCCAGTTCAGTCTTTGTTCCTCAAGTGTTTCTCGTGTGGGGACCGAAGAACGCCAGATGCATATGGCGGGAATGCTTTGTTTTCAAGCTTGGTTCCCCGGATTGGTCTTGGAAAAACACTGACATCCCAAGATGGAGTCTAGAGACATGTGATCTCATTACATGTCTTTGTAGAGTCGTAACAGCCATTACTTGGAGGCTGTCTGATGTGTTCTCAGGAAGGCTCCCCAGGTGGGAGATGAGCTACTCCTAAGGCCATAAGAGCAGCCATACTTGGTCAGACCAAAGGTCATCTAGCCCACTGTCTGGTCGTCTGATCGTGGCCAATGCCAGGTGCCCCAGAGGGAATGGACAGAACAGATAATCAAGTGATCCATCCCTTGTCACACATTCCCAGCTTCTGGCAAACGGAGGCTACGGGCACCATGTCTGCCCATCCTGGCTAATAGCCTATTGTTGGGCCTATCCTCCATGAATTTATCTAGTTCTTTTTTTGGAACCGTGTTCTAGTCTTGGCCTTCACAACATCCTCTGGCAAAGAGTACCACAGACTCACTGTGCCTTGTGTGAAGAAATACTTCCTTTTGTTTGTTTGAAACCTGCTGCCTATTAATTTTATTTGGTGACCTCCTAGTTCTCGTGTTATGAGAAGGAGTAAATAAAGCTTCCTTATTTACTTTCTCCACACAGTCATGATTTTATAGACCTCTATCATATTCCCCCCTCCCCGAGTCCCCTCTTTTTCCAAGCTGTAAAGTCCCAGTCTTATTACTCTCTCCTCATACGGAAGCCATTCGATACCCCTAATTTTTGTTGCCCTTTTCTCAACCTTTTCCAATTCCAATATATCTTTTTTGAGATACATCCACACGTAGTATTCAAGATATGGGCGTACCATAGTTTTATATAGGGACAATATATTTTCTGTCTTATTATCTATCCCTATCTTAAAAATTCCCAACATTTTGTTAGCTTTTTTGACTGCTGCTGCACATTGAGTGTATGTTCTCAGAGAACCATCCACAGTGACTCCAGGATCTTTCTTGACTATTAACAGCTAATTTAGACCCCATCATTTTATATATATAGTTGGGATTATGTTTTCCAATGTGTATTACTTTTCATTTATGAACATTGAATTTCATCTGCCATTTTATTGCCCATGCACCCAGTTTTGAGAGGTCCCTTTGTAACTCTTTTCAGTCTGCCTGGGACTTACAAAACTTAAGATAGTTATCATCTGCAAATTTTGCCACCTCACTGTTTACCCCTTTTTCCAGATCTTTATTAATATGTTGAATAGGACTCCAGTACAGACCCCTTGGGGACACCATTATTTACCTCTCTGCATTCTTTAAACTGATCATTTATTACTACCCTTTTCCCCCCAATCTTTAGGAAGGCCTATTGTTTTTTCCTAATGGCTCATTGCCCTGAATAGGCCCTTCCAAACCCAGCTATCTATCATGAAAGCATCTTGTCTAGTGGGCATTCCCCAGGTGTAACTATGTTTTGAAATACAGATTATAGTCAGGTTTCAGAGTAGCAGCCGTGTTAGTCTGTATTCGCAAAAAGAAAAGGAGTACTTGTGGCACCTTAGAGACTAACCAATTTATCTGAGCATAAGCTTTCGTGAGCTACAGCTCACTTCATCGGATGCATACTGTGGGAAGTGTAGAAGATCTTTTTGTACACACAAAGCATGAAAAAATACCTCCCCCCACCCCACTCTCCTGCTGGTAATAGCTTATCTAAAGTGATCACTCTCCTTACAATGCTTGATTAAATAAATCTCTGCTCATCACCGGTTCTGGAAAGACTGGGTTGTCATACTGTGAATAACTTAGTATGGGGAGGGGCAAGAGATTGTAATTTACAAAAAATTGACACTATATCATTCCATCTCTGCCTGCTGCTTTGAGCTTCCATGGCATTTTCCCCACTCTCTGATCACAAAGTGTATTATGAAAGACAACTAACAAATACTGGGGATATATAGGGATCAAAACAGCCAGCTCTGGGCTGGAATGATACAGTTCTTTAGCCATGTACAGCAACCTATACAGCAATCTGAGAGGAAGTGAAAAGCTCTCTTTACTAAATTTAAGCTGATGGATTGTTTAGAGAGTTAAAACTAACTCAATTAGTTAGAATTTTTAAAAATATTGAGGTTTCTACTACTACCGTGAATGGCCTGGAACTCCATTTTACTGTCATTCAGAAGACAGGCCCATCTACAGCTGGGCAAAGATTCAGTAATAACTTGGAGGGGGAAAAAGAAAAGGAGTACTTGTGGCACCTTAGAGACTAACCAATTTATTTGAGCATGAGCTTTCGTGAGCTACAGCTAAAGAATTGCCATCACCAGTTCCTTGTAGGTCTTACTCCTGAGGGAATTCTGTGCTCAAAACTTAAAATTATGCACACTATTTTAAAATATTGTAAAATTCTGCAAATTTTATTTGTCAATAAATTAAATAAATGTGGCTCCAGCATGGCAGTGGGGAGCATAGGCCACTGGATGCATTGAGGTGGGAGATCACCCTGAAGCCCTCACCTCCCCCAGTACAGGGACTTGGCAGTGAGGCTGCACCTGACCCTGACACAGTGCAAGGGCTGGGCCTGCCTCAGAAGCACCCTGGGGTCCTGCCCCTCTGTGCCAGGTGTGGCTGGGCAGGCTCAGCCCAGCAGGATCCTAGTTTTGGGGAGTCCAAGTGTGGGGTGAGAGATTTCTGTGTGGGACATCTGTGTGCAGGCAGCTCAGTGGGAGATTTGGATGCACAGGGGCTCGTTAGGGTGCAGGGACAATGGGACTCTGCAGGGGATCCAGATGATAGTGGATGGGCTCTGTGGGGGGCGAGGGGTGGGTAAGGCTACTTCTGTGCCCTTACAGGAATGTTCTATGTTAATGAGGATCCTGGGTCTAATAGCTGTGGTATCCTGTAGGAAAGAAGGCCATGGACTGAAATTTGGGCATACTTTGGTAAACTTTAACGGAGTGGGTAACTATCTCAAAATGGTTATTTTTCATAAGGAAACAGTTTTACATAAGCTTATTGTCTTATAACCAGTAGGTGTTAGCCTTTGAAAATGCCTTGCAAAGTTACATCTGTTCTCTTGTATCTGGAGGCTCGAAGGAAGTTACAGCATATGCTGTCATCGTTTTGTAACTTTTGAAAGAGATCTGAAATACTGGCTATCAGTATTGCAGTTACTGGGATTATCAAGTGTGCCAAACTGTATCTCGTCCATTTAAAGTCTACGCCGCAAAACAGTCCTTTTGATCCTCATTAGCATTTTCCTTTTAAGGGCTTCAGTGGCTGCTGGCTCGTTTAAATTATTACTAAGTTTTTTGTTTTGTTTTATTTTTAAACAGATAAATAGCTAAATAATGTCTCTCTCATGCAGGGCAAACCCAGAAAATGAATCTTTTCCAGTCCATAACTAGTGCCTTGGATAATACCTTGTCCAGAGATCCAACTGCAGGTACACTATAACTGTAATTATGTGTCTCTCTGTACTGTGAAATTAGTCATTTTTAAGATTATCTGAAATGTTTTTAATAAAATGTAGAAATAAACTGAGGTTCCAAATCACTTAGAGAATACACCTGTAGGATTAAAAATGTATAAACAGTGTACTGAAAGACTATGTACCACATTGGAACTCAGCTGAAGTTCTTTTTCTCCTACAGCAATTGACTGCATCATTAACATCTAATGTGGAGCAGAGAGCTGCATTGCTTAGCTTGCTTGGTATATGAGTAGTGATCCAAATATGTCAGGGGAAATTCAGGTCCTAGCAGATAAACTAGTTAATTCTCATCTTAAAAAAACAAAACTACTTTAAGTTGAAGAGTACACTTTTAGAACACTTCAGATGTTAGAGGTTTTTGAGTTTTGTTTTTCCAAAAATGCATTTACTTTTGAATTTTCCTGATTGTAAATGTGCATGTTTGTAGTGATGATCAGAAATACCTCTGAGGTCTGGCTCTGGTTTTTCATTTTGTTGCTCTAAATATTTCTGCACACCTGTAACTTAGAGTGACAAAGTTCCTTCTGTACCTTGGTGGGTCTTGCGCTTATTGGCGGATTTGCTCGCCTTGGAGCTTCACTACAGCTCTCAGTTTGGCCGTTTTCGTGAACCCACAGTCCAGGTCAACTCCTCCTGTGTCTGACCAGGAGTTGGAAGGTTTGGGGGGAACCCGGGTCCACCCTCTACTCCGGGTTCCAGCCCAAGGCCCTGTGGAATGCAGCTGTCTAGAGTGCCTCCTGGAACAGCTGTGCGACAGCTACAACTCCCTGGGCTACTTCCCCATGGCCTCCTCCCAACACCTTCTTTATCCTCACCATAGAACCTTCCTCCTGCTGTCTGATAATGCTTGTACTCCTCAGTCCTCCAACAGTATGCGTTCTCACTCTCAGCTCCTAGTGCCTCTTGCTTCCAGCTCCTTACACGCACACCACAAACTGAAGTGAGCTCCTTTTTTTAAACCCAGGTGCCCTGATTAGCCTGCCTTAATTGATTCTAGCAGCTTTTTGATTGGCTGCAGGTGTTCTAATCAGCTTGTCTGTCTTAATTGTCTCCAGAAGGTTCCTGATTGTTCTGGAACCTTCCCTGTTACCTTACCCAGGGAAAAGGGACCTATTTAACCTGGGGCTAATATATCTGACTTCTGTTACCCTCCTGTAGCCATCTGGCCCGACCCTGTCACATATCTTCTCCCCCTGCCCCGCCCAACACTACAGGGTTGGGCAACTTGGGACATCAGGCAGTGTACTCCTGACAAGCCATCTGGATTGCTATGGTGGCTTCCAGCCTGGTGTTGTATGGTGAATTGGAAAGGTTGTAGGGACAGGAACCATCTGGTCACCCTTACGTTCTTCTCTTTATTTCGCTGCATCCACTGGAGGGGTGCATGGTCAGTCACAAGGGTAAACCGTCATCCCAGAAGGTGGTAATGTAGTGTTTCCATGGCCCATTTCACAGCTAGGCACTTTCAACCATGGCATACTTCTGCTCTCTCGGGAGGAGTTTCCTACTGAGGTAGAGGATTGGGTGTTCTTCATCTCCGACCAAATGCGATAGGACAGCTCCCAATCCTACTTCAGATGCATCTGTCTGTAAAATGAATTCTCTGTTGAAGTCTGGGGCTATAAGCACAGGGTTACTGCAGAGGGCTGTCCGTAGATCCATGAATGCTTTTTCTGCGGCATCTGTCCACTTCACCATGTCCGGACCCCGGGCTTTTATCAGGTCTGTCAGGGGACTCGCTCTGGTAGCAAAATGGGGAACAAATCGTCAGTAGTACCCCACCACACCCAGGAATGCCCGGACTTGTTTTTTCCGATTTGGCCGGGGCCAATTTTGGATAGCCTCTAGTTTGTTTAGTTGGGGCTTGACCATGCCCCTTCCTACAATGTAGCCAAGGTATTTAGCCTCGGCTAGTCCTATAGCACACTTGGCTGGGTTGGCTGTGAGGCCAGCCTGTCTTAGCGTGTCCAGAACCCCTTCCACCTTTCCTAAGTGGGTTTCCCAGTCAGGGGTGTGAATAATCACATCAACCAGGGCCGCTGCATAACTGGTATGGGGCCGTAGGAGCTTGTCCATAAGACGCTGGAAGGTGGCAGGTGCCCCATGCAGTCCAAAAGGAAGAACAGTATATTGAAACAGACCCTCCGGTGTAGAGAGTGCCATCTTTTCTTTCACATCTTTGGCAAGGGGAATCTGCCAGTATCCCTTTTGTTAAATTGAGGGTGGTCAGATCTGGCATTGCTCAGGCAGTCAATTAACTCATCAATATGGGGTTTGCATCGAATTTGGATATCTCATTCAGCCGGCGAAAGTCATTACAAAACCTACTGGTGCAATCGCGTTTGCGCACCAACACAATCGGGCTTGACCACTGACTGTGGGACTTTTCGATGACTGCCAGCTTCAACATCCTTTTTACCTCTGCCTTGATCTCCTCCCTTTTTGCTGCTGGGACCCAATAGGGCCTTAAAATTACCTTTGCCCCAGGATCTGTGATAATGTGGTGATATGCTTCGGTGGTCCAGCCTGGTTTGGTTGAAAACACGTTCTGGTGTCGGTTGATCATCTCAGTTACCTCCTTCTTCTGGTCTGGTGTCAGATCAGTGGATAATCCTGATCTGCTCCTGCCTGTTATTTCCCCGAATCGGGGTCTCTTGGGCCACTAGACACGCCTCTCGTTGGTGCCAAGGTTTTAAGAGGTTAATGTGATAAATTTGTTCTTGTTTCCGGCGTCCTGGCTGCCGCTCCTTTGTAGGTTACTTCCCCCATGGGTTCAACCACCTCATAGAGCCCCTGCCATTGGGCCAAAAGCTTGCTTTCTGCCGTGGGTACCAACGATCCCCTGCTTGGAACTGTCGGACTTTTGCCTGGCGATTTTAATGGGTTCGCTGTGCCTTTCCCAAATGTTCCCATACAATAGGGATGACCCGTACTATCCGTTCTCGCATCTGCAACACAAGGTCAATTATATTTCTCCCCTCTTCCCATATTTCTTTGGCAATATCTAGTATGCCACAGGGGTGGCGTCCGTATAATAATTCAAAGGGGGGAAAACCCAGTTGAGGCCTGAGGTACCTCCCGGATTGCAAACATAAGGTAGGGTAGTAGAGTATCCCAATCCTTCCCGTCCCGACTTATGACTTTTCTTATTGCCTTGAGGGTTCAGTTAAACCTTTCTTCCAGCCCATCGGTCTGTGAATGATACCCTGAGAACTTCAGTCTATGTATATGGAGCATTGTACAGAGATCCTTCATTAGCTTCAACATAAATGGGGTACCTTGGTCTGTTAATATCTCCTTTGGTAGCCCCACTCTGGCAAAGATCCCCACCAACACTTTAGCTATCGTTTTAGAGGTCGTGTTCCGCAGGGGGACGGCTTCTGGGTAGCGAGTAGCATAATCCAGAACGACAAGTGTATGCTGGTAGCACTGGATTGTCTTCTCCAGGGGTCCCACTAGGTCCATGGCTATTCACTCGAAAGGGACCTCTATGATGGGAAGGGGTACTAAAGGTGCCCTCAAGTGGGGATGGGGACTGTGCAGCTGACATTCTGGCCAGAAGAATCATCGCAGGACTCATGCTAGGGTCTTCTCTACTCCCAAATGCCCCCCAAAAAGAAGACTATGGGCCAGACTTAATACAGCATTCTGGTGTTTTTGAGGTACTAGGATCTGCTGTACCTTCTGCCCCTGTACTGGTGCAACCTGGTATAAGAGATTCTTCTTCATTATGAAGTAGGGTCCTGGTCCCTGGGTTTTCCCTTCCACGGGGACCCCATCTATTTCGGTCATCTCCTTCCTAATGTTGTCGTACCTTGGGTCTTCAGCCTGCTCCCATCCAAAATTTCCTCTCCCGGGGTTAATCTGCTCGAGATCTAGGGGGCCAGTCTCTTTAGTCTCTACTGGTTCAGAGGCATTAGGGTGTGGGTCAGACTTGGGTGCTTCTCCCTCCTGGGTGACCTACTTTTCAGCTGCTCGGGTCCACCTACCTATAAGAGCGACCCTCTGGCTTTGGGCCAGTATTCGGGTTCCCAAGGCCTTAGCTGTCCTTCTTTCCCTTTTCGTGTTTCTACGCTGTCTGGGAGTGGAGAACAAATCTGGGGATATTTCAGAGAAGGTTGAGGGTTGACAGTCTACTGTGGATGCCTCACTACTTTCAGGGCTTCCCCCTCTCTCCAATTCCCCTACCGGGAGTAAGTCTCCAAACCCTGGGAAGTCCCTCCCTATGAGCACTGGGTATGGGAGTTTAGGGACTACACCTGCTGCTACCTCAGTAGTGTTCCCCTGAATCTCTATTTTTACTGGGATGGTGGGGTAATAACCAACTGTCCCATGGACGCATGTTATCCCCGTACGCTTAGCCCACAGCAGCTGACTGCGCTTCACGAGCTTCCCTGAGACAAGCGTGATAGCACTCCCCGAATCAACCAGTGCTGTGGTCTCTACCCCATTTAGCTTCACTGGTCTGGTGTACATATGTGGGGATAGTGAGACCACACAAGGTGGATTAGGGAGCATGGGTCTACCCAGTTCCCCAGGTTACACTGCATAGGCTCCTCGGCATTGAGACACTATGCAGCTTTGTGTCCCCACTCCCCACAGGCATAACATCTGTATGGAGCCCTATGCATTCCCCAGTCTCTTGGTTTGGGCAGTCTAACATCACGATCCTCTTCCCCCTCAGTGCTCTGACATTTTGGCTTCTGGTGGGCCTTCAGCCCTTCTCTTTTTCCACCTGGGCTCTCCTGGTGGCCCAGTCATCCAAGCTCTAGGGCTTGGTGCTGCTAGTTTAAGCCAGGGTGCTTCTTTCTTAACTGGTCGGGTCAGCTCCCTCGCTGTCCTTTGCCTCTCCACCTACAACAAGGTTGTTGCACTGGTAGAGGGTTCATTCTGGCTTACCCAGGCACAAAGGTCTGGCAGTAGTCCTCTCATGTACCGGTTGATGACAAGAACTTCTAGTATCTCCTCCGGGACTCAGTTCATAACCACTTTCATGCGAGATGGATGAGGTCATATAATTGGGACCATGGGGTTTTGTTTTCCTGGTACCTCCACTCATGATATCGCTGGGCCCGTGCTGTGGTCATTACCCCGGATCTGGCCAGGATCTCTGCTTTCTGCTGGGGGTAGTCTGCCACAGCCTCTTCAGGCAAATCATAGTAGGCCTTCTGGGCCTCCCCCCACAGGAATGGAGCGAGGATGCCAGACCACGGTTTTCGGGGCCAAGCCTCCCGCAGGGCTGTCCTCTCAAAGACGAGGAGGTATGCCTCTACGTTATCCTCCCGCGTAATTTTCTGCAGCCAGTTGCTGGCCCGCATGATCAGCTCTGTAACCTTTTTGTACTGGTACCCCTTTCACATAGCAAGCCTCGAGTGCAACCCCTCTTATACCTTTAAAACACTTTTAAAAATCTATTTAACACCATTATAAATGCTGGAGGAAAAGCGTGGTTTGGGGTGGAGGCTGACAGCTCGTGACCCCCCCCCATGTAATAATCTTGCAACCCCCTGAGGGGTCCCGACTCCCAGTTTGAGAACCCCTGCTCTAGTTTTATATATTTAATATATAAATAAGTGTTGTATTTCTCAATGAGAAATCAAAAGTAGCCTTGCCCTAAAAATCCTAAAATTACTTTTTAAAAGGGATCAAAGTTCAGCAATCAACCAATTTAATGGAAAGGGCTAGACTGCTTTTAAAATCTGGATCCATTTACTGTCTAATGGCTTTTTGGTGGTTTGTATGGTTCCTAGTGGATGGATAGTCCACATTGCAAAGAGCATAATAATGGTGAGTATTTAAGCTGGCAACTTGCACAGTTATTGGACTACCTTCTTTTCCCTAAAGGTGGTCCCTCCAGATCAGGGCTGTAGCACATGGGTGGGACATTTGGAGAAACTTGCTATTTAATGGATCAATTAACATTTGTGGTGATCAGTTCAGCATCTTTCAGGAGCATTAAAATCACATAGAAGTGAAATGGGAAACGAAACTAGTTGAAGCTTAAACATTAGTGGTTGAGTCCTTACTTGTGATGTCATTTTATTTTTGATTAAAAGGAAAGATTGCATCAGATCTTAAACTTTTTAAAATGGAATGTCTAAATTCAGCAGATGTTTGGTTAGTTCATACACTAAATTTCTTGGAATTTTTAAATGAATTGGTAGTGCTGTGGTATTACTTAAATATTTTTCTGAAATGTTCCTGCAGTAGTTTCTGAAACATAGCTAGAATAGTTTAAACATTGTCATACTAACTCCTCCTCTTCCCCTTTTGTTTAATGTACTGTTTTTTTAAAAGGTGGTGCTGATCTATGAGTGTAGGAGAGGTGGGGGAAAAGCTTGATTGCTAATATGCATACTATATTTAAAATGCTTTGAACTTTTTGTTGATAAAAATACAGTACTTTGAGGTCAAATTAATCCCCCTTTTGGACATGGTGAAACATCTAAAATTCAATGCTTTTAACTATAGTATTTTATAGTAGCATATACTCAGTAAATTGTTTAGAAATCTATTAAAACTTGTTCTTGCTCAATCATGAATGTTGAAACTTAAGATATTGAATATAAATGGAAACAGTGAAATTCAGGTGAGGACTGCGCTTACAGTTTATAAATGGTTAGAATAGAATAAATAGGATTATCTTAATTTTCAGACTAGACGAGTGTTTGTATTCATAAATAAAAGTAAACTATGTATGACTTATTTTGCAGTAATATTTGGCGAAGATGTAGCCTTTGGTGGAGTCTTCAGGTGCACTGTTGGGTTGCGAGACAAATATGGTGAGTTAGCTGCTTCTGTACAAGCAATATTAGATTTAAAATCTTTCCTTTTCCTGCTATAGCTATGATCCTAGATGAGTCTTGTGGGGAAAATCATGTAAACGAGTTTGTTTTTGTTTTGATATAGCTGAAGATTAATGTTTTGAACAGATTTAATGATTTTGTTTAATAGGAATTTCCAAATTAGGCATTGAACTTGGCCTCATAAGTTTATAACTTAAATTTTATTTTCAACTAAGTTGGCTTGCAAAAAGTTGTTTTTGGCTTTTACAAGGATTCCAGGTTGTAGTGTCTCTTAAGATCAGATAAGATATATTTATCTTTACTCGCAACTAGTAACCTGTGGTCATTCATACCAACTGTATTGTTTCCATAAAGAAAATGAGGTAACATGTATTTCTGGATCCTGTGTATAATTGACCAGGAACTGAGTTTAGGCCCTATATTCAATTCGGTTTTAACACTTTCTTTTTTTCCCTCCCCCGAAGTATACCACTTTCTCATGTGGTTCAGCTAGCCAGTGTTAGAACCATACTTGAACTGTCCTTAAAACTTAATTCTTTTACTCATTTTTCTGGCCCTGCGTAGAAAGAGCCTGAAAAAATATTAGTTACCTTGTTCACAAATTAACCAGGATAGTCAGTTTTGTAACCTACTAGACATGAAAAGCATAACTTGAGAAACTGTATGGAAAATAAGATGTTACTTTATCCAAGAACTGAGTGATGTGGTAAATCTCATGAAGCTTGGCTTAGTAATGAGGGAAGACAGGAGGAAGTTTATTTAAAACACTTGGGAATCTTAACTGTTACTTCCTCTTGTGGAATCATTGTGCTGTCTGAGCATCTCTTCAATGGCACATTCTCAAGAATCCTTTTGTCCCATTATAGGAATCTGGACTCAGAAATACAACTGATCTTTTTCTTTCAGTTGCCCGGGGAAAGGTTGGAATTCTCCTTGACTTATGCTGGTGTAATTCTGACTTCAGTGGAGTTAGTCCTGATTTGTGAGAGAGAAGAGTCAGGCTCATAGCTCTTTTGTTAGACTCTGTTCTTCTGGTTAATGGTGGTTTTTTCTCAGAAAATGCAAAGACGTCCTTTCTGAATTTCTGCTTTACAATTGAAATAGCTCTCTTCTGGTTACCCATAGAATGTATGTTTTTTTTAACTTGGCTTTTGTGGTTCTAATAAAAAACATTATCAGAGTATAAAATGTCAGTGTTTCATGTACTACATGCTGGGTAATATCTATAGTTACCTGCATGGTGGTTAAGAGTAATAGGGGATAAGATAGTATGCGTCAGTGATCGCCTTAAGCACATAAGGGAGACCATGTCTACACTGCCCTGCAATTCAGACTATGGGGATGTGGATTACAGCAAGCTCTGAAGTGCTGCGCTGTAACTCCCTTGTGTGGATGCTGTGGGCTGAACAAAAAGGTACCTAGTTCACATTATTGACTACTTTAATGTGAACTAGGAACTTTTTCGTTCGCATACAGTGTCGACATGGGGAGTTACAGCGCAGCATTCTGGTGTTTATGTAATTTACCCCACTGTAGTCCAAACTGTGGGGCAGTGTAGACCAGCCCTAAGCCTGTCTGACTTAACTAGGCATATCTTCTTTCTATGCCTCACCCTCTTTCTTACTATAACATTCAAGTAGGCTACCGGTCTATCTTTTATCTGTAACTTTGTTCATGGTAGGCAAATTTTAAAAATCATAGCTACAGAAAGCGAACACCATAAATTTTTGAATACTAATATTTGCATTAGAATAAGATCTCTGTGATATTACATTTGGTTGCTGCAAAAATTAACACAAGATTTCAACAGGGAAATAAGCAGCAGGAGCAGATGGGTTCTCAAGCAAATATCCTGTTTCTGTGCAAATGTTTCTAGTAGTAAAGCACAAGGGAAAACAAATACAAGTTGTATTACCAGGAGACTGTTTACGCAGTGTATTGTGTATGCAAAAAATAAAGTCCTTAAGATCCTTTTGGCCCTCATTGGTAAGAATATCTTGTTTATTGTTGAAGGTTTTTTCCACTAACCAGCAAAACAGCAATAAGCAAATACAAGATCATTTGTCAATATTTATATCATACCAATGTGTTGGTGTAAAATGTGAGGGTGTTTTTATTTTTCCTCCTTTTGTGTTTTTTTTTCTTTTTCTGGTATATAATCATCAAGATCACTAGATGGCAGTCTGGCTCTGAAAGTAGTACTCTTAAGAGCAAGTCTGTGGTCCCTTTTTAATTAAATGCAGGGAGCAAGATCTAAATACCAATTTATATACTTGTAGGCAGAATTTAGTTTATTAATGGCTCAGAACTACCCAGATGTTAATCAATATCAAGACTACGGTGCAGAGAAGTTGGGGGGGGGGGAGAGGGGGAAGTATTTTAAAACAGATTTCTTCTTTCAGTGAGTCTAAATTAACTCTGTGCTATGAAAGCCAGTTAAACCCCACATGTATCTTATGCTTATCTCAGGAAGAAGGTGTCAAGAGGAAAAAATAAAATCATTTTAAATCAGGTCAACACTTAAAGTGGCTTATGAGACTACATATAATTAAATACTTTAGCTTAGAATTTAAATGCACAGAAGTTAGTAAATAGAAGTTTTTCTCACAGCAGCTGTAACTTGTTAGTGTCTGAATTAAACCTATGGTAATTCTTCAGAGTCCCTTTGTGGCAGACCCAACTATGTATTGGTATTCGCACATGAACCCGCAAACACACTTTTTGCCACTTCTCAACAGTGAAGGTGTTGCTCTGGGACTCATGAGATATATGTATGGATGCCCTTATGGGGATAAGAGTAGAAAAGGTCATGCATGCCCTTTCCCTCTTTGTTCTGCCTCAGGACTTTATGGGCATTGGATGGTCTATTCTTTCTCTTTTTTCATAAACATGCTTGGGCATCAAATGTATGGCCCACAGCCTGTGTCAGGCCCACCTGGTGTATTTGTGTTCTGCGTGACCTGTTCAGACTGCAGAATGTCAGCTTCTGAAATACAATTCTAGCTCTCATGGTTGTGAGACCTTCCCAAATCAGAGTAAAAACAAAATGTTTACTTTCCTGAGTCTGTATATGGTTTGTGGCTTTGAGAGATGATCTCCCATGTCCCCTATTAATCTAATCCGAGTATGAAGTAAAGGATACTTTGTCAACATTAACTATTATCGTGCTGATAATTTTAGCATGTGGACTGGGGAAAGGAGTGAGAAATCTAGTGGTGGGAGAGGAGGATTATTGTAGGGAAGGAAATGCAGAAGGAAGAAGAAAGGAGAGACAGGAAAGACAAATAGACTAGAGGGAGGCAAGAGAAACAAAGAATAGTTGGGTGGGATGGGCTTATTTCCCAATGAATGTGACAATGAAGTAATTAAAGATGAAACTTTTAGTTACTAGTAAAGGCCAAATTCTATCCTGTTTCTTTAAATCTTCATGCTCACAGTAGAGAGTTCTGCTGTGAATGTAAGGGGATATAGAGTCTCAAAGCTGTGTTCAGGTCAATGGACTGTAACTAAAAGTGGAATTTAGCCTTCTTTACTGAGTAAATTTGACATGCTGGGGATTTTGTAAATAACACTAGTGGCAGGCTTTAAGTGGCTGCTCCTTTTTGTACTGATCAGTTGCTAATAAGTTTTCGCTACCATGCGAGGTTTATGCAGAGCATCTGCAGTTAAGTCATAGAGAACTGCTGGCTGGAGGGTCAAGAGTATTTCCCTGAGTGTTAATTTCTCCTTCAAAGATCCATAACTTCTAGGAAGAAGGATGGCAGTGCTCCATGTTATGACTCCTGAAGACATTGCTGGGCTGGAACAGTGTGATACGGTCTTTAAAATTAGTCCTGTGTAATCCCCAGAGGGCCTCCCATTGTGAGGGGTATCACACATGATGCAGACACACTTGAGGTCTGCATGCTCCGTAGGAGCCGTCGTCTTTTGTCTCTGATAGACAGTTGTGGTTTAAACTTTATATCCCTGGTCTTAGTCTGGTTCCCAAAGTACAGAAGCTGTAGTAGAGTCATGAAGAAGACACTCTTAGATGCCTGACCATGCTAGAAAGCATGACGGGAACAACCAAAGTGGCCAACTCTTTCCCACGAGTGGAGTGGGAGGGACATTGGGTCACCAGGCTTCCTCTTGCCTCTCCAACAAGCAGGGATGGACTTTACCACACTGGACTGAAAATGTTCAATCTTCACTGATCCTGGGCTGAGGTTTGCAAAGGTAATAAGAAACTGAATTCTCAATACTTTTTATTTTTTTTATTCTTTTGGAGGGAAATTGCATCCCTAAGTTTAATACACTGTGGAGTTCAATTATGTCTGCTAGGGACTGAGACATGTCATTCCATATTATTTCTGAAAATATGCTTATGATATGAATGACATAACTGAGGTATACTTGATGCAAGATGGCTCATGTAAGATATCATTGGAAAGGTTATGATTTACTGAATGCGATTATCCAATTTGTATGCCGGTATCATTTCTGTATCTGAAGTTAGGAATATTGACTATATATGAATATGAACAAGAGGCTGCTCAGCAGCTCTCCAACACCACTTTCTACAAGCCATTACCCTCTGATCCCACTGAGAGTTACCAAAAGAAACTACAGCATTTGCTCAAGAAACTCCCTGAAAAAGCACAAGATCAAATCTGCACAGACACACACCCCTGGAACCCCGACCTGGGATATTCTATCTAATACCCAAGATCCATAAACCTGGAAATCCTGGGCGCCCCCTCATCTCAGGCATTGGCACCCTGACAGCAGGATTGTCTGGCTATGTAGACTCCCTCCTCAGGCCCTACGCTACCAGCACTCCCAGCTACCTTCAAGACACCACTGACTTCCTGAGGAAACTACAATCCATCGGTGATCTTCCTGATAACAGCATCCTGGCCACTATGGATGTAGAAGCCCTCTACACCAACATTCCACACAAAGATGGACTACAAGCCGTCAAGAACACTATCCCCGAT